GTTACAAGTAACAGCAGTATCCAGTCGCTCCAAGATACTAAAAACATCTCTACAGAAGACACTAATAGTGATGCAACACCAATTAAAATCATATCGGATGAGATTGTAACTCCACCTCTGGTTACTTCGCAAAACTGTGGTCGGTTTGATGACAATAACAACAATAGCACTAGAAAGTTGGTCCATGCAACAAGAAAACGAAGAACAAAAATTAATAATGATTTGGATGAAAACGCCTCTGCTTTAATCGAAGCATCACAAAATTTAACAAATGCCTTTCATGTTGCATCAAAAACAAATAACACTGACGAAAAGGCAAACAGTTTTGGGATATACATGGGTGAAGAAATTGTAAAACTGGACCCCGACTTGCAACTCAAAGGAAGAAACAAATGCATGACATTTTGATGGATCTGCAAAGTGAGCAATTGAAACGGAATGGGCTTATGTAACACAATGACTATTTATATGTATGTATGTACACTCATAGACAAAAATAGGAGTGTCCCTTTTTGTCATGTTTTGACCATTTTCCGTAGGTTATTGAATTTTAATAACTTATTTATAAAACTTTAGTTAACTCTACAACCAAACACATATCACTAGAAGCTTTAAACTTTAAACAAAATTCAAGAAAATGCATAAAATTACATAACAATTTCGAACTTCCTTTTAAGTATTTCAAAAACAAAATGGGTTGTTGCGGCGCCCTCAGCTTAAAAAAAACAATAACCAAAATTAACGGTGATCTTAAGCCACTTGAAATTTGCCATTTATTACATAAAAATTACACATCTACACAGACATGCAATTTTGTTTTTAATATTTAAAAGAAAAAAATCGAAATTTTGATGAGTTTTCCTGAATTTCGTTTAAAGTTTAAAAGTTTTATTGATATGGTTTTGTTTGTACATCCGTGTCATAATTATAAACGCACCACATATTGCCAAGTTTAAAGATTTTTAATTAATGGGGTGTATTTTTATAAGTAAATTATTAAAGTTCAATAAACAAAAGGAAAATAGTCAAACTTTACGAAAGGAGGCAGAGTTATTATTTTGCCGAGTGAATATGTATTTTGATTATTCTTACCACTTTTTTACCTTATTATTACTTTCATTAAAATATTTGGTTGCTCTAATTGAATCAAAAATGTAACAGTGTTTGTACTACTCACGGTGCACCGCTAAGTAGGCAGGTATTAGCTAGGTATGTACATAATTTGAAGACATTGTACTCATTTATTTAATCACCAAATAAACCAATTGTTGCTTCTACTAGTATAGAAAATTTCCAACACGAAAAGTTTTGGTTTATTTAAACAATGAAACGATATTTTAATTTACCGCAGAAAAATAGTTTTCGAAATTTTTTCTTATTTCTTCAGCGCTCCTTTTTGACGCATTTCTTTCAGAAGCGGTTGTTGTATAGTTGTTATCTATTATTGCATCTATTTCACTTTCGGAAATGGCGTCAAACGTAGTTTTCTTTTTCACATTTTCTGTTCTTAAAAAGTTGTGCACACATACGCAAGATAATACAATCTGAATGGCTGCAGCTGGAGCGCGATGGATGGGTGAAAATAAAACTCGAAAACGGTTCGCAAGAATGCCAAAAGCATTTTCAACAACGCGCCTGTCCCCGAAAGTATGTTGTTGTATTTAAGTTCGCTTGGTGATAGTCTTAGATGAGAGTAAGGTTTCATTAAGTAGTCTTTTAGAGCAAAGGCATCATCGGCTAAAAGCACAAAAGGCGAGGGAGTTGACATGAAAGGGAGCGTGCATGGGGCTGGTATATGTACTTCATTTTTTTCAATAGCGTATTTCAGTTTCCAAACGGGTTATACCGGAAAATGTAGAGGCTGTTATGGCGACGACACTAGAGAGCCGTGCGAAATTGTCCAGACTTGCAAGTAAAAAAGACTTCAAACAATAATTTTTTTTAGTTTCTTTTCTATAACTCACTTAAATTAATTTTTCATTTACATATGTTCTGACTAAATAAATTTCTTAAGAGAAAAAATAGATATTATAAATAAATAATAAATATTATTATAAATAAATAAATAAAAATAAAGAAAAAACATAGCCATTTAGCTGATTTTTTCATGTAAAGGCCAAAAATGGTGATTTTTTGAAATGATTGTATGGGGAACCCCCCCAGGGGAGTTCCAGGGGGTGTGCCACTGGCATGGGTGGATCGGCCGTCCAAAGTTAGTGGGGGTCGGTCATACTCGTTGGACTCGATTGGAGCACTCTAATTGGGTCAAAGTGGGATTTTTCAAAATTTGCCCCTACCCAAAAGTTCGACCCAAATTGGGGGACATCAGAATTCGTTTTAGAGGTATGGTTCCTTCGGCAAAGTTTCTTATTTTGATCCCTAGAATACGATTTTCACAGAGCAATGAGCGATTGTTAAATCGACCCGCCCTAATGTGTATATAATGTGGAATTCGAAACTTACCTTCCAGTTCTCTTTTTAAAAGCCATTGCGCAGAATATTTTTTTTTGTCTTTTTCTTTTCCCTACGCTGTATTAAGGCAGCAGCGTTTAGCAAACAATTTGTTGCAATAGATAAAACTTGTATTTCCATTGTATGCTTAGAAAATCTCTCGTATGTCAAAATGCAAACAGCTGTGTAAAAAAACTAACGAAATACAGCCATCTGTCAAAAAAACCTAACGAAATACAAGTTGGCCGGACTGTTTTTAACAACCTAGTTTGTTTTTCGTTTGTTTTTTGGTATATAGCTTACTCGCTTACACAAGTACTGAAATTGTATGTGACCTTCTCTTTCTTTCAAAATACAGCGTAAAACACACTCGAAATACAAGAAAAAAAACGTAGTATCATACGGGCATAAGGGCCGTTTTCTGAAGTAACCTTTAACTTTAACGCTCACTTTATGTTTAAAGGTTGGATTAAAAATAAAGCTATGTCTAAAGTTGAGTATTTCTATTATCGTTTTTTGACGTATGTATGTTTCTTGGTTGTAAACCTATTTAAAGCCGATAATAAAGTGCTTTACTTTAGACACAATCATAAATTTTAATGCAACCTTTAAATATAAACTGAGCTTTAAAGTTACAGGTTACTTGAGAAAACTGCCCTAAGGAAATCAGAAATATATGCCGTCCATTCGGTAAATGCCAATCACAGCGATCCTGTTGTTGTTGTAGCGACTACTAAGCCCCGTTCGGGGCGGTTCATCCATCAACGTTGTCGTCCATTTCAGCTAGGGGGAGGCCCAGGAAGTGTGCTACTTCCACAGGGGCTGTCCATAAGGAAAGGGGCGTTAGCTGAGTGGGGTTCTCAGGGCATGTGAAGAGGTGCCGGGAGTCATGTGGCGACTCTCCACATGCCGGGCCATTGGTTGGGCACATCCTCGTTGATTCTGCTCAGGTAGCTGTTGAGCCTGCTGCGAAGTTGGGCTATTGTAGTGCGGGTCTCCCGAGACAGACAAAGTTCTGTCCCGTCCACGTCCGGTGGTTGTGTGCCTAGAACGGCATTCACAGGGCGGGAGTCTACAAACTTGAGACTGATTCCCTGTGAATGCCGTTCAGGGCCTGTCGGTAGGTTGACGGGTCCAGAGGTTGTTTGATATACCTCTGGACTTTGTCCGTCAGTTCGTAAAGATGCCTCCTGACGTGCCGTGGCGAGAGCTCTTACGCGAGCGGTTGTCCGCTGGGATGGCCACGTCTGTGGCTCCCAGCAAGGAACTGTTTGCAGAGCATTATGTTATGCTCCTTTACTGGGAGCATATGGGCCTCGTCATGAAGGTGGTGTTGAAGCGTCATCAGGAGGCATCCTGTCGCAGTTCGTAATGTCATATTTTGGCAGGTCTGTAGCTTCATCCACTCCGTCCTGCTAGTCCCCGGCGACCATACGGGCGCTGCGTAGTTTAGAACCGGCCGGCCAATTGCCTTGTATGTTGCCAACAACGTTTCTTTATCTTTGCCCCAAGTGCTGCCGGCCAGCGACTTGAGGACATTGTTGCGGCTCTGTACTTTGTTGACAATTGCGGTTGTATGCGCCGAGAAGGAGAGCAGACTGTCGAAGGTAACTCCGAGGATTTTCGGGTTATTCACCGTCGGTATTGTTACGCCATCGACGTGAATACCCAGTGGCAGTCTGACCTCCTTCGTCCAGGTGGTGAAAAGAGTTGCCGAGGATTTCGCAGGGGATAGGGCAAGGCTCCTTGCAGTGAATAAGCGAGAAAGTTCGGAGAGGTAACCGTTTACTTTCAAGCACAAGTCATCAATTCCATTCCCAGACGCCATGATCGAACAATCGTCAGCATACGAGACTATATTAACACCCTCTGATGGCTGAGGAAGCTTTGAGATGTAATAATTAAACAGTAGCGGGGACAGGACACCACCCTATGGTACCCCCTGTTTAATTTTACGTGGCTTGCTAGTTCTGTCTCTGAAAATTACTGACGAGTGTCGACCACTCAGGTAATTTGCCGACCACCGTTTGAGTCCCTGTGGGAGTGAGGAGGCCTCTATATCTTCTAGTATCACAGCGATCCTTTTACAATTTGGTGTAATGAAGTGAGAGAAAATTGTGTGTTCAGCCAAAGCCATTAAAACAGGCATTTTCCACGAATAATACTTTGACTAAGAAAATCTTTGTTTGAGAAATTTTTAAGGGAAGGCAGTAAAATATATGTATTTTAATTTCAATATGAATATTTTAAACCAAACAAAAATCCCCATCAAATCCCCACATCCCCAAACGAAAAAATCTATCCCCAAATGATTTCAGAAATCCCCAAAATGGGGCGAAATCCTCATATCTGGCAACTCTGAAAACTAGAAACACATTTATCATCTTATGGAGCATTAGACCACTTATCTTTCAAAAACAAAAGGGGAAATGTTCGGTTATTTATGCAACGATTTTAGTGTGGGGAGCGGAGACGGAGGGGGGATTCATTGAAAAATGGAGTAAAATCAGCATTTTGGCAGAGAAAATGTAAGTCCAACTCGGCTACACTGACCAAAGTATTTTTTACAAAAAGGTTCATATTTCAAACCGAATTTATTCATAAATTTGTATCTTAAAATTTGAAATCTTTATTTTAAACTAACGTTTAATTGTTTGACCACACGTGTGTGCTAACATTTTTTGCTTTGGGTTAAGCGTTTGGACACAATGGGATGCACAAAACCTAAGCAAATGCTTTTTCTTAAAAATTAAGACCTTGTACTCAAGTTGTTCAAATAAATTTAAGTGAAAGATATATTTTAAGAAAAAGCAATTGCACAGTTTTTATGCATACGGCCCAATAACCCAATACTATTGTACAAGTAAAATACCTTTTGCTTGATCAAATTTCGATTCCAAGAGCAAAATGGTACTAAATAAACAAAAATAATAGTAATAACCAAAGGAGGATTTTAG